TTTACCAACTACAGAAGCGATTGCACCACTCGTGGAATATCTAGATGTTCATCTGGTAACACTTAACTCGGCTCTGCTAGTCGCAAATTTCAATCGCGTTCTGCAAGACATTTGGGAGGTAGTCCTTAGTGAATTAGGCAGTCAAATGGATGGAAATGCCGAGGTAATTGCTCCCTTGTCATAATTGTATGAATATTGATCTTCTCTCTGATCATAAAATGATTATTCTTCATATTACATAATAAAATTATTTCGACGATATTTGTAAATTGATTTAATATATTGGAGCACATGTAAATTTATATATTTATAAATAATTTAAATTATACGACGAACGACAGAATAACAAAAAAATTATTACTTGCAGGATAAACCAGTGATGTTTTACGAGAGATTACACGAAGCACTTGATTTATTAGTGAGATTTTTCAACGCTGACGATAAAGGCTTGCCTCTAGAAATATTGCGTCGTCAGAGTTTCATGAACGCAGAAGAACGTCTCCAGTATCATAAAATGGACACAACTTTCTTGATTGATCGTTATTATCAACAACGTCTTCTGGTATGTAATATGCGATATCCAAATTTTTTTTTATTTTATAAATATTATTGTTATTTTTCATTTTAAATTGTCCTATTAAACAAATACAAATAACAATATCTTGTACAAATATGTTTAAAAATATTCTTATTCTTAAAAATATTTTTTTTTATTTTTTGTTGTATAAATGTGTTGCATAGCAAGAAATATTGTATAAAAATGTTTTGTATTGTAGTAAAATTTATATAATGTTTAGTATAACATTTAATTGCTGAATGTGTCTTTGTATATAATTAATTATAATATTATGATAGTAATAATATAATATATTATATTATATATTATATATAATATATAATATTATATACATTTATATATTAATTTTTAGGACCAACTTAACACAACCAGTTACGAATATGGAGTTCTAACAATACGAGCTTATTTAAATCATGATTCTCTTTGCCTCGAGGTGATAAATGCCAGAGATGTTATACCATTAGACCCAAATGGATTCAGCGATCCTTTCGTAATAATTGAATTATTACCGCGACGAATGTTCGAGCATTGCGCCGAGCAGCAAACTAACGTCAAAAAGAAAACTCTAAATCCCATGTTTGATGAGTGTTTTGAATTGTAAGTTTATTATATGTCATGTTATTTAATTCTATAAAACGAAATAATATTCACACATCAAAAGTGAAATTAAAAAAATTTATTACTTAACTTAATATTGACTTTATATCATGTAATGATATCTTGTGATATATTTCTGCCAGATTTATATTATAAGATATTATTTGGATTTAAACGTTAAACAATCGAAAAAACATTTTTACTTTGAATGAATGATATATGCGTTACTTTCTTCCAGTTCGGTGAGTGTGGAGCAATGTCGTGACCCCAACGCGATGGTCCTTTTTACGGTAATGGATCATGACGTTCTCACGGCAAATGATTTCGCAGGCGAAGCTTTCCTAGGACTCAGTACCATTCCTGGCGTCGCCGACACAAACACCAGCATAGACAATTTCCACGGCCTCAAGCATCAGGAATTACCGCTTATGCACCAAAAAAATCGACGTGAGTGAATTAATCAAACTTCGTAAATAATAGAATTTACAAAATCTGTTTCTTAATTTAAATTTCTAAAGTCTATTTAAGATTTCAAAATAAACTCACACACACATTATTAAGTTTATAAATCCAGGAACCTAAAACTATTTTGAAATATCTGTAGTTATGAGATTACATGAATTTATGATATAAGGAGAATTATATAAATAAGGAATATTATAAATCACAAATTTTTATCTTGTTTTAAGATATTATATTTAAAAGTATTTTTTACATAAGAAATTAAATAATATGTATTTAATACTATAATATTACAAATTTCATCTTTATATAAGTAATCTTTATCTTATATTCCTACTTCTTGATCCTCTTTTTGCTTGCAAATTAAATATGTGCCTTTTGTTCTAGATCATCCAATCCTCCAAATACTGGAAACTCGAGTCGGTGACAAAATGGCCCTTGACTTTGTGAAAAAGCAGAAACAACGATTCGCCACGACATAAGCGCTTTAAGCACTGAAGATAGAGAAGAAGAAAACCATGGTGATTGTATTACAATTGCTATCAAGACTTGTACACTAATCTTAAGAGTCAATGAAGAAAATCGAGGAGAAAAAGGAAGAGGAGAAAGTCCATCCCTGCGATATGTCGTCGATTCTCACTTTCTCTTTTTCTCTCTTTCACGCACTCTACCTTTCTGCCTATCTTTCTACCAGCCTTCATTCCAAAGATTCGTCAGATCTATTTCGGTGTAAATCGTGTTGAATATAATCGGTGTTGGAACAAAAAAAAGAGAAAACAGAGAAAAAAAGGAAAGGCGCGATGAAAGAGGCTCGAGAGAAATATATCAGAACTATTTTTGTGTCGAAGAAGAGATGTGTAGAGCAGAACGACGCAGCAGATGCAGGAAACAGTAAAACACGTCGTAGCTAAGGATAAATGTTTAAATGCCGTCTCGTCAAGCTCGAAGCGACACCGGAGCGACCATAAAAGTTCTTTATTCTACATTTTTTATACAGGAAGGTCCAGATATTTAAATATCTCGCGCGCGCTTCCGAGAGTTTAAGGATTTTCCTAAGAAAAACACGAGTGTTCATGTTTTTGAGTAAACTAAAAAAAACTTTCTCGCGGTCGCGTGATCTGGTTTTCGTCTGTCGAGTATCAACTGTGGACAGATAGGTATCGGGATTTCCATGATAAGAACATAAATAATATAACGACACATGATGACTTTCTTTAAATCGAATTATTTTCACAGCTTCCATAAGAGAGGAAGTCATCGAGGCTGTTCATGGAAACTTCCGCCTCGATTGCGCAGAATTGATTCACGACAAAATTGGGAGGAAAATGCAAGTTTCTTTATTATCCTCTAAAATTACTATTTCTTATAAAAATTATACAAAACGCTTAAGTTGTACAAATTTCTCTTCTCTGCGGACAAGGCAAAGCACAACGAATAATGATATATATTAATGATTAACTTATATAGATAATGAAATATTACATTAATAATTGTTGAACGGAAATAAAATATATTGTCAAAATGAGTGTATAAAATCAAAAATACGTCGAGTATTAATTAATACTTTTTTAAAATTCTTTTTAACTACATATTTGTTAACTCTAAATTAAGATCAAATTATTCTAATACATTTCTAATAATCCGAATAAGATTTTTTCCTCCCCGAAGAGCAGCCGCGCCGCTTCAGCGTCGCTTCGACGGCGTGAATCAAGCCGCAAAGGTTGATATATGATATTTTTCTTACTCTTCATTGGCTAAAGTCTCTTTCTATCTTTTCAGCATCTAATCTTTCTAATAACTAAATTATCAACAGCTTTTCTCGCTGATCCGCTTACGCGACAAAAACAGAGACGCTTCTGTCAGAATGTTTTACTCTGTGATTCCTTCAGCATCGGAAGAAAAAACAAAATTTGAGAATGTATCAGAGATACAAATTTCACTTTCAAACATAACTATTATTAAATTGAATGTATGTTTCGCTTGAAAAGCGTTCTCTGTGTGCATCGCTCTCAGTACTAGATTTTTCTATTGAATTTATTTTGCTAGTACAGAACATGCGATTCTATGTAGCTTTTCTAACTTTCCGATGCGACGTTGATGAATTCTTTGTGATTAACGTTTAAAGCATATGTTAAAACACTCATAATCGAATAAAAAATTGACCATGAAATTAAAAACAAAATTAGTATTAATTTTTCAAAATGCAATCTTTTTTAACTTGCTCCATAAATCTTTTAATTTTTTGGAGAGCGAAATAGCAGATTGTGATAAGGATAGTATACTCACTTTATTAAATATATGTAAAGAAAATTTAATAATATTTGTTTTTGTTCTAGTAATTTACATAACTAATTTAAAATACGTGAGCAAATAATACGTCAATATGAAAGTAGTCCCATTTCGTTTTATGTTCGTCGTTATATAATATAATTATTAATATAAAGAAATTGGAATGCAGACAAAAATTGAACGTGCAAGAAATGAGAATGTAAGAAAGGATGGCGGTAAAAGAGAAAGACTTCATTGTCAAACGCACATATGTAAATTTTTCTAATGCACGTATCACTTTGTTATGTAATTATACAAAAAGAAGATAATTATACAACATTCCGCGTAACACACCTTAATATTTTGCACACCTTGTATAATAAAAAGGAACCGGAAGAAAGGAAAACATTTACGAAGAGCGAGATTCGTCTGTTTGATTCTCAATATATTTCGTGCATTAAGTCCAATTAAACTGTACTATTTGCTTTTCCAACTTTTTTCAATCACCTAAAAGGAATGTAAGATCTATCTTGTATCGTGAGACAAATAAATTAATATAAATGTTTGATTGAGTAATTAATAATTTTCTTTAGTCGACAACAAATTTACGTCCATATTTTTAATTAAGAAAGTTCAATGGTATAAATAAATAGTGCTTACACTTAGATGTAACAGCCAAAAAATGTTTACTGCTTCATTAAAAATATTTTATCCTTCAATTAATATCGTTCATATTGTCTGTACTTGTTACTCATATAGCTAAATTTCATACAAACGGAAAGATTACATTGCTTCCTTGTTTTTTGTTTTAATGTACAAGTAATAGTATTTATTTTATTTACAAATTTAATAAACTGAACATTCAAGAATATTTGTATCCCTTATAATTCATAATTACTGAGTCTCTCGAAGGTTAAAAAATTCGAATTATTATTATTAATTTAATTTGAAAATATCTGTTTGATTAAAAAGATTTTATCTTTATTTCCCAGAAATAATTTAGATTTACTAAACAATCAAATTCTATAAATTTTATTATAATATATATCAAACTATAAATATGTAAGAAAATAAACTATTTCAAATATTAAACATGTTATTGATCAAGTAAATCGTGCGACGGACTGTCAGTTTTGACTAGTTGAATTGAATTTTCTTCTGTACGTATTATAGGTTCACCATCGAGTTTCTCCAAACTTGATAAACGTCGTGCAACTTCAAGTCTCCATTGCTCTACCTGCAAAATATTATTATATATATGGAAATGATAAAATACTTCAAATTTTGCACATTTAGAGAAAATCTTTAATAATATCTTTAATAATATTTCAATGTATTTACGCTTATTATAACATAAAATACATCTATAATTGTATTATTTATTTTATTATTTTATTATATGTAAATATCCTCTTTTCGAGTGCATAATATTTAAAATATTTTAAAGTATAGATTTTCTTTTTTATATAAAGACACAAAAATTACAAAAATATTATGTCTTATAATATTTATTAACGAATACATTGATGTGATAGATACCTCTAGATTTTCATACAACGGATTACCGACAAAAACTAGATCTCGAAGATTTCCAAGTTCTTGTAGCCTTGCAAATTCGTTCCATTCTCGCACCAAATTATTAGACATGTAAAGTACATGAAGATTTCTCATTGCTTGGATGCCCTTCATCTTCTCAATGCAATTATAGGAAATCCAAAGTTCTTCGAGAGTGTCGCCTAAAGGTTCAAGACCAGCGAATCCTTTGATTAAATTACGACCTATTGACAAGATCTTCAAATTTTTCAGAGTTCCAACGCCTACAAAAGACAATTTTTAAAAATTAATTTTTTGCATGCTACACAATATTTTCCTATCACATAATTATGCTATAATCGAGGGGGTAACCACTTAATGTAATCGTGGGACAGAATCCTCGAGGGGAATCATTATAAAATTTATATAAAATCTCTATGTATAATCCGATAATTATATATGCAGCCACGAGAAATCATTGTATAATATTAAATAAAATCGTATATTTTACCAAATTACTTTATAGTAGTGAAAAAAATTATTTGTAATCAGATAAAATCATGTAATCTGTGGGACAATATTTCAGCTAGTGGTTACCCTCTTGGCTATAATACTGCTAAAATTACTATAATTTATTATCAACATTAAACATCATGCATGTTGTATCGTAACAATTATCAATAAAAATTATATAATAAAAACATATCATATAACGAAAAATGTTAGGTAAATTTAATATGCTACGACAAAATATTTGAAGTTTATATACGAATCGATAATTGTATCGAAATTACGAAATTACACAACATACAATGAATAACACTGATTCTCTTATCACGAATAAATTGATAACTACAATTGAAAACATTAATGCGTGTTCTTGCACGTTCCATTCGTAATGACATGAAATTCATAAATCGTAATCATATTTACATCGTGATGTGTCGCGTTACTAAGCGGTCACACGTTTGTATATGCATGCATTATGCATCGCCGATGGTGTCACGAGTCCGAATATGCATCATTTCTGTTGCAACATCTAAAATGTATCGTGATTTGCATAAATCGATCAAATCGTGAATAACCGCTGATTAATCTATTCAAGATAAAAATTGCTGATTAATCTATTCAAGATAAAAAAAAACCCTTAGCAAAAATAAAAATCGGAACGCAAGTCGAATATAAATATTAATGTTCTAAATATTAAACGTCTCTTTTACATTTCGCTGTCTCAATTTCGCCTACTAGAAGCTTCAGTTATTTCTGTCATTCTTCCTTTACATTCGACTTATATTTTAATTTTTAATTTTATTACACACACACACACACACAAGGAAAAATAGTTTAAAAAATTCTTTATCTTTGCAAAAATATGTATGCTTATGCTTTCAAAATTTGTAAGACGAGATTACTTTTTAGAATTAGTTAATATTATATAAATATAACTACTTATTAGAAGCAAAGACAATAATTATTTTAATAAAGAAATCGTCGCGTCGTGTAATTTCGTGTAACATTCCGTAAGTTATCATACAGAATTTTTACGCAACTTAGCATTTTTTTGCAATTTCGTAATACATTAAATTTTACGAACTTTACCTGCAATCTTTTCAATCATATTTGTCGATAGGGAGAGTTTTTCACAATTTGCCAAAGTTGCCAGCGCGTTGTCCATCTTTTCTATTGGTGGCCATTGAAAGCTCAAGATTACTTCTGTCGCCGCAGTTGCATTTTGTTGATTCTCTTCCTCCCATCGCCGTATAGCTTCTTTGCATGTAGTTGGCTTTGCCGATGCCATGGTTGATTTTCCAGATGCCATGGTTGTATCACAATAATACGTCTTCTCAACATTGGTAAAAACTTCCAAAAAATCTAACATTTTTTTTTATTTGTTACATTTAATTTAAATATTATAAAATATCTGTCAACACACATATACGTCTCAATGTGTCAATATTTTCATTTTAATATACAAATAACATCATAGAAAGCATGAGATGCATAACTGCAGAAACATAATTGATAACATGGTAAAATGTTTCATTACTTAATTACACCATTAATTAAAGAAGCATAACAATTAATAACTGCACTAATTAACGCTGAAACGGTTTCAATATCCGAGTTTAATTTCTTCAGAACCCAATTGTCAACTATTCATTACATCAATTAGCAAAATTAAATATATCGCAATTAGAGACAATGTGTTTTCATGCATTAGCATATCATAAACGAATGAAAAAATTCGCATTTGACGATCATAAAGAGAGCTTGTAGGCACGTGCAGCTATTCTGTATTATGTGCGTATTATTTTATCTTGTATATAAATGTACACAACTACCTGGTATAAGCTATCAACATTGACAATAAGAATGTTCAATTTCACATTTTGTATTTGCATTAATAAATAAAACTGGAGTATATGCGCAAAAATCAACAGCTGATCCAATATACTCTCTCTTTGCGTTCTTCATCGCTGGTTCTTTAAAGCCCAAGAGGTTCAGGTAGCATCCTGTGTACCAATACTGTCAAGTACACGTGCAACCGAGGTTACAAGAACCGAGTACTTGTTTTCCTTGGTTGCGTGGCAATCTGCCATGGTCAGAGGTTTGCAATATCTGGCACCAAGCAAAATAATCGATGCACAAAGCGCATGCGTCTGGAACGAGTATTTGTTAACCAAGTGTCTACATACTAATGATTTACGATAGATATTGGCTTGGAAAAGAAGCAAATACAATCCAAAAAAAACCGCATGCCAGACATGCGATCGATAAGCGATGATGCGCGGTAATTCCTACACGTGTTAAGGAAGCAGTATTAATAACAATTATTGGAGCAATAAAAGTAACTGCATATTATTGGATCTACAGATTGGTAGCTTTTTATCGTTTATAACAAAATTTAGCATTGGAAAAACGGATTATATTACAGATTCAAATAAACAGATTTACTTTCGTTTTTTTTTTAAATAGACAAAAAGCTATTATTTTTGTTTTAATTTTTTAAAAATTAATATTAAATAACTTAATAATTTAATTTAAAATTTACATTGATAAACTTATATGTACATATAATAAATAAATTTATACAAGATATACTATAGCAAGAAAGTTCTCGAAAAAAATAAGTATAAGAATTATTTGAAAATTGTTACCTCAAGCAGTAGTTTTTGAGATATTGAAGATATGAATATGCCAATTACAGACTTTTTAGATGGCACTTCGCCTATCAGCTAAAGTGCACGTTTACTAATATTATAGCACATACAACTCATGGACAGGTGGCCATAATTTATATTTAACTGCATATTTAAAATTGGTCTCATATTCCAAAAACTACTGCTTAAAATAAACATTTACGAATAACTTAATTAATTTTTTAAGAAATTTCTTGTTATAATATTTTGAGCAAAATTTGGAAATTTCTATTACCAATATGTAACAATAAACAATATTAAGTAGTAATATCTAATATTTTATGTACTAAAGTATAAACTTTAAATTTATATTATATACATATAAATTTAAATTAATTTGTAGGACAAACGCATGTATTATTGAATATGTAAAGGATATGATATGTTCGTGCATTATGTGAAAACTTATACAAATACATAATCAAACAAACAGAAAACTGCTTATATGATAATGTAGGATTAAAGCAGAAGTTTTTCTCAGCATTTTATTAACCAAAAGGACTGGCAGTATTGTCACGTCACGTATTACAGCGAGCAGACACAATGACACTTTAATAACTAAGTTACATTCATAGTTGTAGGGAAATGCTAATGGCACAAATGAACAAGGAGATTCATCGGCGACGTAACTTTAAATGTGTCTTGAGATGGAAGTACCTTTTCACTTTGGTATTTTGATTAATTTTCAGATAAAAACTTGATACTAATATTTAATTAAATCACATATATTTTTGGAAAGGAAAATTACGCCACCGAGATTACACAACGCAGCGATCTCACAGGAAATATGAATTAACAACAAATAAATATATCAGTAATATATGTATAATAATAGATTATACAGTGCGATACTCATGGGGCTTACACTGAGTTAGCTTAAATTACAAAAATACGCAAAGGCACTTGGTAAAAATCTTCAGTTCCTCGGCTGAGAAACATTTCGGGATAAATCCTTAAACTCAAAGTTTACATATTGTGTCCGTCTCTCATTTGACGCTACGATCGAATTAATTGCGACGATGGTAACAACGATAACGAAGAATGCCGAAAGAAACTTCTTTAGTTTTATTTGGATCATCAAAAGTCATAAATACCTTTCAAAATATGTTCATGCAACGAGAGAAAGGAAGTCCGTAATTTACTACTGTAATCCGAAACGTTAATTTCTCGTATACATAGTGTAGAGACAATGAAATATTCACACGAGAAGGGCAAAGTTGCACGTCATTCGCGCATTGTTCCCGTCATGTAGATGTACAGTATTACGCACTCAGATTTTACACAACATTCGTATAATTCGGATACACAGGCATAGAGATCGCAGAAAATAGACAGCTTTTTATAGACACTCTTCTTAAAGATTCGAAAAGGATATCTCTCTTCAGAAGACTATAGTTTCGGGTACGTACACCACCGCTATACCCATTCTCTCGCGGCGCTCAAGAAGAAAACACGCAACATGATAGATTTCATTTCCATTGCGGCAGAATACTGCACTTAAAATGCCGCATGAACTATGGTATGTACTATATCAACATCGGTATCACACATAAAATCGTATAAAATAACAGATTGCAAAATAATTGATAGAATATCCGATTAACAAAATCACGGAGTCAGACCTCAAAGCGGTAATCAATCGTTACTTGATGCGCGATTGTATAATAACTTTTAATGTATCTGGAATTGAAATACGCATCGATGTAATTATATACTTTGAAATTTAAATGATAAAAATTATGCACGCACGGGCGCGACATATATAGATTCGCTCAATATAAGCGTAGGAAATATTTTAGCAACATATATAGGCAGCTTTACACTATATTTTTTCTAAATGTAATAAACACCTGTTTATAGGTATTAAAGTAACCTCATGACTTTTATATACAATTTAATGTCAAGTAACATTAGCGTATTGCATCAAGTTGGCTTTATATATACAATACCGGGCTGCGGAAAGCCCATTGGAACGCGAGAAACTAATGGCACAAGCGAATTTAGCGACGCGAGAATAGTGGCGGTATATTCTGTTTACACAACGATGTAACGCCGTTATGTGGTAAAATCGACACTCGTCAACGGAGGGATTAAGGGATGTTGTACATACACGTTGGGTATATTTGTATAGAACATGCTTACACAAATATACGCTTATATCATGTATGTAAGTTTCGTATATACATGTACTAAATAAAAAGATTAATAATTGGTCTTATCATACAGTAAAGTCGTAAACTTAAGGCGACTAATTCGCACCATGGTCCGGTTTAAATTCTTTTCTTATCGTCACACGAATTGATTTGAACTTTTGATTGCGCTATTATGGGCCATTAAATTCAGCATCATTTGTAATTATTATACATAAAGCTGAAATGCGCGATATATAAATGCCCATTTTACTAGAGTTTCCTCTTTAACAAATAGAATATTAATAAAAAATGTACAAAATAAGCAACGATAATTGTAACAAAATTTGTCAGAACGTTAATTTCATTAATCTCAAATTATTGTCAAAATAAGACTGCATATAAATTGACACAAAATATATATGATCTAAATATCCAGCATTGCTTGAATGTAATTTAATAGATAATACTTAATCTTTCAAAAAAAAGGGAGGTCGAAGTTCGTGCCGTGAAAATGACTGAGAAGCAACGCTCAGTCACCTGGGACTGAAAGGATTAATTACTCACATTTCTCAGAAGGTAATTCTAGTTAAATGAGTATGGAATCGAGGGATTTTCTCCCCAAACTCAGTGCGCGTTAATTTTCACTAATTGGCACTTTGTTAACCCGATGCTAGTAGTATCCATTGGTCCACGGACCAATTCGCCCGTTCTAGGATTACAAAATACTCTCACAAACATTATCAGTAGCGAAGACTTGACGTTCAATTCTAAACATTAAGGTACATACATATTGTTGACTCGAAGATGCATCCATTCAGCACATTCACTACATTCTCACGATCCTTTCCCGACGGAAATTCCTTCAATTCTGGAATTCTAATAAAGTTCCCGTCGAGAAAGAAGTTTCTCAAATTATGCCATACTTACGTGACTAATAAAACAGTAGTCCAGCAGCTCGATTGCGATCTTTTTCTATCGCAGTGACTTAAAGTACGTGGAGGTTCTCGCAATTCTTAAATTTGCTATCTTCTTTGCCGAAAAGCCAGGTCAGCATCTGTCTGGCTTTCATACTGGCGCGCACGACGCCTCTAGATTTGTACCAATGAGCACTACCTTCGCTACCACCGCTGTTTCGATTCTCTTGGTTACTCTGGACCACCTTTAAACGGATCTGGTTGAGTATTCCAACAAGGAGCTCGTCGACGTTGTGATTGATGCCCACCGACACTTCGATGAACTTTGCACGGTAGGTACATGCCAAGCATTTCCCATCTACAATGTACAGTCCGAAAATTCGAGATAAAGGATTACAATTTAAAAGGAGTTTTTAAATTATTATTGTTTAAGTCCTCTATTGCTATATCTTTAACAGAAGTACAATAATAAACAACTAAAATATTGTTGCTCTTTTTTTAAATAGAAGAGTCAAAAAATAAAGTTATATTAAGTATAAATATGTTCCTTCAGTCTAGAATTCGTCACTTTTTAATAATAATAATATAAATATATAATAATATTTAATAATAATATAATAATATAAAACATTTTATTTTATGACAATACATTCATGTAAATTTTACAACCATAAAAAGATTAATTATCTGAAATAGACATCATACGCGATACATACACACTGAAAAAAAAAATTACGAAATTTGAATAAATGTTTGTTTAAGTAATACCAATAGGACCATTTGCTTACAGAACATAAATATTTATTCGATTTAAAAAAATGATACTTAAATTAAGTGTATTTTTTTTAATTGAACAAATATTTATTTACTGTAAGTGTAATAGTTCCATTGGTAATATCTAAACAAATATTTATTCAAATCTTGTGAATTTTTTTCAGTGCACGTGCACGTATATACAGATACGGTAATCCTATTTTTATTGTAGAATTTGCCTGATATACAATGTCATGTTAACTGAACGTTCAATTTTATAAAGTGTCACAAAACCGTCTATCCATGAAAAAATGTATGTGTAAAAAAGAAAGATGTTCCGCCTCTTACCCTGGGGCGAAACCACTCTGGAACGAACCAAATCGACCTTGTTCCCGACCAGAATAGCCGGTCTACCACGAAGAAGATCTTGATCATGAAGTCGAGCGAGATATTCTTCAGCCCTTTGAAAGGACGCCTTGTCGATTACTGAATACATTACGACAAAGGCGTCTGGCAATGGCATTTTTTCCAATTCGATCTGGACAAATCAAATTTATTTAATAAAATAAAAATTTTATTTACTTATGTATTTTGAAAAAATAGAATAAGTAAATAAAGATTTATTTAATATCATGCTTTATAGCATTATATCATAAGTAAAATGACTATTCTCTCTTCTTACTTTAAGATTAATGATGTTTAAGAATTTAAGCTCGCTTTCTTCACCATTCAGCATCACGAAAACGGATTGCTCACTTGGCACATCTGCAATGAGAAAAAAAATAAAAGATAAAGATATTCTAGAATAGTTTTTACAAAGAATTTTCAGATTCAACATCTTAAAACATGTGCGAAGATAAAAACGGTAAATACATATCATGCAGATATAGATATATCATTATAAAAAAATGTTTCTTTAAAATCGCAGGCAAACTATAATTATAGTATATATTTTTTCGAGGAAAATTTTATATTAAACGAACCGTATTATATCCTTTTTTAATAAATAATAGAAATTCTCTCCCTTAATTTCTATTAAATCTTTAAATAAATAATTTAATTAATTTTGATTTTATTTATTTTGGTTTTACTATGTGTTATATTATTATAATGTAGTAATAATGTAGTAATATTATAGTTATAATATAATAATATCTATTAATGTAGTAATAATATTAATAATGTAATAATATCACAACATTATTGACGTACGCTACTAACTACTCTATATTCTCAAGCGCTTCATATTCTTTTCAATCATCAAGAAAAATAATAAAAAGAGGAAATAAAATATTATCACAATTCGCCAATTCATTTATCTCTTCTTCTCGTTTAAAATAAATATGATGAAAAAACAATCAAAGCTGTAAATAAATCTGTTTCTTCTGCGAGCGAGAAACTATTAGAGCAAGGAAACGTTCTCATAATTGACGCGAGAGAGAGCCGACGTAATCTTATGGCTCTAAATGCGTCTACGGGCCGCCTGTCAAGAGCAATACCGATTGATTTTAGCTTGCTAACGAAATATCATCCGTGACGTCAGAGAATCGTTCGAGTGTCGTTGTTCTAACCAATTTTTTTCGGCTGAACGATTCTCGCTTCTCTAGAGATGCAGTTCCACAGCTACTGACAGGAGTCATAAATAACGAACGTTTCTGCCAGCGGAGGAAGAATAGAGTAAGGAACAGTAAATACTACAAATAAATCTTATCGTAGAAATCTGTGCACAAACTTATATTCATTTATCTTCTTATTTGAAAATTGGAAAAGTTTAATTGCAATTAAAATAAAACTATTTGTGAAATCAGATTATAAAAATTAATAGAAGTAGATGTAGATCTTCTTTCATTTGTATAAAAAATATACTGTACATAACAGCAAAAAGGAAAAGTTTGATATATTATAAAAAAAGATATCCTCTTTTTTTGTATTCCATATACGTATAACATGAAAATGCGATTCAAGTTGTAAAATATCTCGTAACAGTCAAATAAATGAGTTAATAATTTAGTTATATTGAACACGTTTTTATATAATCAAATATTTCTTGCTACTTTAAGAATTATTCTCATACACATTTTACATATAAAATATCTCAGCTATTGTCTCTTTTCTACACTCAATAATTCTTATTCATTTTCCTTTCTATTTTGAACACTAACTTATGCGTAATTTATATACAGTGAGCGCAAAAAGTATTCGTACAGAGAAAATATTTTTTGAAAAAACTTTATTTTTAAAAAGTAAATATTATCCAGCGAGAATGCGTCATCGAATTGATGTCGAATCGATATAAATACGATGATTTCAACATAAAATTGACGTCAATTCGATTGATGATCTCTTGTTGGATAAATAATTAACAATTTATTCATAAAAAATAAAATAAACTATATGTTTCTTAACATTATATGTACCAAAAAAATGTGTATTAATTATACAAAATATATCATCTGAAACATAAGCGAAAATTAAAAACTGTATTGTTTGAATGCTCAAAAAGTATTCGTACAGACGAGAAATTTAGCTTCTAAAATCAGGAATACATACGAAGCTCATTTGTTTATGTTAAAACAGAATATATTCATTGTATAAAATTGCTAATTAATCTTTATTTTCTACAAATAAGATTCTTTTATAACAAATTTCCTTGTACGAATGCTTTTTGCTCTCACTGTATATACGAGCGGTAGGTGACATACTTAAATGTAAAAAGTACGTATATTTTATTTGTTTGGAGTTAAAAGAATTTTAAATAATTAATTTTCATCAGATAAATTGAGATATGTTATTACAGCATTGCAACATGTTTGATATGATAAAGATTGTATTTATAACAAAAACAGCCAACTTTAATTGTACTCCAACAAATATGAAATATCTCTAATTCGCGTCAGTTTGCATATTCTATATGCAAACTGACAAATGGCATTTCGCCATTTTCAGCAAATTCTATTCTCTTTTTCTTCTTTATTGCCGAGACGTTGTATGCGTTTACATACATTCGAAACAATGACATATTATTATTTTGTTAAATAAAACAGAAATAATTCAATAATAATTAATAAATGAGCAACTTTTAAACTTACTTTTTTTGGAAGTTAACGCATAGATGAAAAGAACATATTCTATTCATAATTAATAAATGTCGATTTTTTAAATAAAAAGTAGAAGAAAATATGGAGGGAAAAGTAACAAGAGAAAACACATAATGTTTTAATAATTAAATGATGTTTTAATAAGTTTTTTTTAAACAATCATCTACTACTGTCAGGGACAAGTGGCTGAAATTTTTATGTGCTTCCAACGTTACTGCAACTTTGGCCTTCAACGTTATTTTCCCGGCATTCCGTAATAAATTTTAAAAGTCGTAAGATGTTCTTTAAAAAAAATGTAACCGTAAATTAGCAACGTTGCATTTCACATATTCAGCTGTTGCCAGAAAATGGAGGTTAACGGTCAGATACGGTAGAGTCGAGGGACATGTATCTAGTTTCGTGAAAAAACATGAGAGAAGAAAAGAAAGAAAAGCTGGATAATCCATCTCTCGACCGCTCAAAGATGATGAAAGCATGGGGTAAGTCAGTGAACGAGAAAGACGCTATCCGCAACACACTAGTTGCGTCTTCTATCTTATTCGGTCATAGAAAGTCCGGAAAAAGCAAACATTGTTATAAAGTCAAAAAGTTGTAAAATTACGGAACTACGAAAGCAAACTAACGCTTGCAAATTTTTATGTAAATTCAACGTCACATTGCAAAAAGGATTATAAAATTGCGAAGCAAACATTAACATGAGATTGCGACGACTTCTACGGAATATTTGAAGTAAAACGTAGTAATTATACGTATTTTAATGAACATAATATTTTTTCGGGGTACGCAATAGTCGTGATCTAAACGCTGCATCGCTTTGGGATAAAGACGTATTTTCACGAGATAATTATCTCAATAAAATTACGCATACGGAATATAATGTGATTGTCGGTCAGGAACAAATTCGATTGATAGCCGTGACGGGAATATCATGAATACAAGAGAGAACTGACATTTCGAGGTTGCAAAATCAAATACGAATAAATATCGCAGAAATTGGTGAAACGCATTCGTTAGCGCAAGCGCGCCCCGCAATTTTCATTCGTGGGTACAAATTATTGATCTTTCAGACGCTCAAAAGAATTTACACATTTACGTTTTTAATTACCTTTAACTGTATAAAAAACTCACTTGTATTTTACCAATGAAAAATTCTCTCTTATCTCTATTCAATTTTTACGGATAATAACTGTTTGATATCGAATGTGTAGTCATGTTTTATTTACACATAAAATTTAATAAGAACTGTATTATCGGAAAGTAATCAAGGTTTATTTATAACAAGTTCACATTTTTAAAACTGTTAACTTTGATAACAAATTTTATCAATAAAGATCACTGTTACACGAAGCTTCAAGTAATTTAATTTACTGTAGTAGTATTGTTTATTTCAATTATTGTTCTGCTACTTCATTTAAAACATTTTTGATACCATTTCGAATTTTAAAATGTTAATTTATGCTGTTCATTTATTTGATACCTACTAAAATATCTGGCGTAATTATAAGTAAACGGTAATTATTACAGTAAATTCATTACAGATAAATAATTTGTAAATTTAAAAACTATTAAAATGCAAATGTAGAAATATCACGCAGTAATATATGTGCAAAATTTATATAGATAATTATAATTCGAGAGTATCACGAGCACCTATCATCAACACACTCATTGAATCTATCAATATTACAACACTTGCAATTTCCGCCACAGTTCACCCGGTCACCGGAAACACAGCAATGTATTTTTAAAGAGATAGTGAGCTAAGAAAAAAAAGAAAAAGACACAAGAAAGGGGAAGAAGTAAAGGGACTCAAACGAAGAGTGAGAAGGAGAACAGACGATGAACAGACGCGAACTCTCTATGATGTACGCTTATAGCACGAAGCGGACGCAAAATTAACCGCGGCTATTTCCGAGCGGCTTGTTCCTGCGTTTTTCTTTTTTATACCTTCGTGGAAATCGTTTCGTTTGCTTTTCGAGGCGGACGTATTCCATCGAATCGCACACACTCGACACGAACGTCGTTGATCCCTTTTCCATGCAAAGTCACGAAGCTCGTCACGGTTGCTGCATATCTGACTGTACAAAATGCTTTGCGCACATGAAATAAAATATGTATCCGAATGATATAGTAGAACCGTAAAACTTTAAAGGACAAAAATTTAAATTGTAGAAACTTAGAAAATTGACAATTTTGCGTAAAGAAAACGTACCAGGCTAACTTGAAAAATTCTACAGCTTATTTTTTTCGTTTGAGAAAATAACTTGCACCAAGTTGATTGTGAAATAATGCACATTAACAGTTGTTACTATACTATTTTACATTAATTACCAAATTAATTAAAATAGAAAACTGCGTTGTATCAACATGCGTGACTTATTCTTCTTATATAATATTAATTTTATTCAGGATGATATTATCGATACTTTCTAAGTAACAAAAGAACTTACTAGATTTTCATAACTTTTTATTTAAATTTGATCAATTCTGAGCATCACAATAAAAACTGATGGAGAAAATAAGAAATTATAATAACTTGTATCATCTTATTCTAATGAATGCAATTCACACTTATCTTATAAGAAAACCGTTTTATTATAATATCATATATCACAATTTTCCTAAGCAATTAATTGAAGCACGGAAGGAAAATGTGTAATAAAAAAT